TCCCTGAATTTAAAAGGATGTTCTTTTCTTTCAGGGTACAATGATGGTACAGGCATTGGGTAAGCTTTCTCAATTCAAAGGGAAGAAATTTCCCAGAAAAAAACACAAATAGGACCACAGGCCCAAATGCAAGTCCAAAACCCAGGAGGCCAGTATCCATTCAATCTCAGAGCTCCAAAATCAAGAAGAGAACTCACTGTCATAAGCACAGCAATAAGGAGGTGGTGTTTAATCATTTGTGAAGGATCCATCCCCCACCACCACTTTTCACCCCTCACCCCCACCATAATCCCCTCATTCTCCCTACCCCCTACCTTCCAACCCCCACTCTCCGCCATGATTAAATCACCCTCCTCCAGATCCAAACTTTATCATTCTGTCCCTGATTCCCAATTCTCATGTCCTTCTCACATTGTAAAATACAATGATGCTTTCCCTACAGTCCCCCCAGATCTTGTATAATTCCAGCATTTATACAAATGTCCAAAGCTTAAAGTCTCATCTGACACAAGGCTACAGTCCCTTAGGTCCATGAGTCGCTGAACTATAAAAGCAAGTTAACTACTTCCAAGGTATAATGCTTGTGCAGACAATGGGTAAGCATTCTCAGCCTAAAGGAAGAATTTTGCCAGAAAGAACAAAACACAGACAGGACTTACAGGCCCCATGAAACTCTAAACCCAGAAGGCCAGTCATTCATTCCTACAGTTCCAAAATCACCCTTTTTGAAACCTTGTCCCACATCCAGGGCACAGGGATGTGAGGTCTGGTCTCTGAAGGCCTTGGGCTGCTCTGCCCCTGTGGCTTTGCAGGGTTTATGCCCTATCGCTGCCCTCATGGGCTGGGCTGGTGTTGAATGTCTGTAGCTTTTCCCGAATGATGGTACAAGCTGTTGGTGGGTCTATGAATCTGGGGTCTGCATGGTGGTGGCCTCCACTGTGGGGGCTCCAACCCCATATTTTCCTTCTGCACTCCCCTAGCAGAGGTTTCTCATGAGGCTCTGTGTTTTTGGGATGCTTTTGTCTGGTAACCCAGGCATTTCCATACATCTTCCAAAGTCTATAGAGAGGCTCCCAAGCCTCTAGTCTCATGATCCATCCATCCAATGGCTTAACACTATGAGGAAGTTACCAAGACTTCCAACTTGCACCCTCTGAAGCAGTGACCCAAGCTGCATCTGTGCATTTTTAGCCGTGGCTGGAGCTGGAGCTGCAGGGCTGCAGGCAGCAGTGCCCT